TCTTTTCTCCCGGGTCCGGCCCGCCCCGCTTCAGAGATGAGCCTGGAAAATCCCCCCCCCCCCCGGCCCCCGCCCAGCCACTCTTTTGTCCCAACACCAACAGAAAGCATCCAGCTCCTGCCCAAGTTTTCCCCACAAAGCCTCCAACTCTACTGGCCTCCAACTCAACCCTGCCATTTTACATAGATTCAGGCCATCTGAAGTGAGCACCCTCAGACACACTGCTCCTTCCTCCTCCCCTTCCTGGAGTATCTAGCTTTAGCCATTTTGGATCTTTCCTGCCTGTGATGGGGAAGAAACCACCTCCTTCTTGGTCCAACTGGCTCCATGCTCCTGACATCTCTCCTGAGACTCTATCCCCCTCATTCTGTCTATCCTTTAACCTCTCCCCTCTCCCTGTCTAAATGTTTCTAAACTAGTTCTGTCAGATATTTCCTCTCTCTAGGCCCCCACCTCCAGCTCTTGCCACTTAGAGGCCACTTTCTTTTCCCTTCCTTTCCCTGCAAATGTAGAAGGGGACACTGTCCTCTCCAGCTTCCCGGGGCATTGCCTCACAGCTCATACCCCAGAGCTCTTCCCATGTTGCTCTAACTGCTATCTGGCTATTCCTCAAACACTGTCCACATCTCTTCATGCTTCTTGTTCCCAAGACCTCTGTGTATCTGAGTTTCCCTTCCAGCCTCCTCTAGGTCGGCCCTTCTTTGAGCCATCTTCACATGCTACATGAATGCCTTGTCCGTCCCACAGCTCCAGCTGCCCTTTCTCTTCAGATAACAAGATAACTAGCAGACCGTCCGCAAACTCCTGCCCAGGAGATTCTGGGAATTCTGCTAACAGATCCATTTCCACAGGTTCCAATCCCACATCTCCCAAACCTGCCCCTTACCATCACTGCTTGGCAAGTGATATCACTATTCTAGGTACCACGAGCTACCCTGACCCGGCATCACACCCGTGTCTTCACTGCCAGCCAGTCTCCATCTGACTCCACTCTGCCTCCCCACTGCCACTCCCTTTATTTACAAACCTGAAATGTTTCGTTGGCCCTCTACCCAATTCTCCCTAAGGCTTTCCCAACTTCACTCCAACACACTGAACACCCTAAACTCACTTTGGAAAAAGCTCAGCTCTGGTCACAACACTTCTTGTCTTTCTGACTATCTACATAGCCCGGAATCCTTAGCTTGAAATACAATTATCTACCTTCAGTCTTCAATTTACGATTCCTGACACTATGTAAACCCCACGTGAGGAGCAGTGGTTAAAATCTCAGGTGTAGGGGGTCAGACCGACAAGTCCAGGATCCCAGTTCTGTCCCGTTCTAGCCTTACTTTCTCATCTGGAAACAAAGGTTGCTGGGAGGAATAAACACTCATGTGCACAATGCCTGATTCAGTCATTCCTATAATATATACTCCATTCAGTCTCTGTTTTCCCAGGCCTTTGCTGCTGGCAACACCTAAAACTCAAGGCCCCTATGCCAACAGAAAATTTTATCTAACTCTGACCCATCCTCCAGGGCTCATCTAGAATTCACTGTCTCTGATTTTCTAGGTACCTGGACATCTCTGTGACAGCAAGACCAGGCTACCTTGTGCTATGGAGACCAGGACTGGCTGAAAACAACTGGCCCTGAGAGAAACTCAATAAACAGCTGCTGAATGTTCCAGCCGACATGACGGGTGTCTGCCTTCCAAGGCCTGCAATCTTTGTACCTCACCCTACTTGAGGGCAAGGCTGTTGGTAGGACTCACCATTCCAGAGGCGATACCTTTGGCAAATCTGACCTTCTGTTGCCAGGGGAATGGGTCCTGCAAGGTAGGAGAATGCCCATCAGAGGTCTCCTAGCCATCTCATGGCCTGGGCCCCAAAGGTCAGTAGGGTATGCCATTAGAAGTTACCCAGTCTCTGCCCAGTCCTATCCAACATGGTCCTTTGGGGGCAAAGCAAGGTCCCTCTGGCCCGCAAGGTTCAGGGTACTAGGGCACAGGTGTCCTTCTGACAACCCACCAAGGTTCTTGGTGACTCTGGGGTCATGTGCTCACCACACTTCGCAGAAAATCCTTCAGTGTGCCCCCCTCAATGTACTCTGTCAGCAGATTTAGCTTCTTGTCCTTGTACAGAACACCAATGAACTTGAGCACATTAGGGTGGTCCAGGCTACGCATCACTTTCACCTAGGAACAGGTTGGTGGTTAGCTTCTTACCCAGTCTTCTTCAAGCCCCCTTCTTCCAGAAGTTGGCTTGACAAGCTTAGCTGCCTTTCCTACTCCCTGGCTTGTGAGATGTGGTCAGGCACTAGGCTCAGAGGGAGGGAAGAATAATCATCACTCAGAAGGGGATCATCTCACAGGCTTTGCACTTGGGGGACCTTTTTTAGGAAGTGCTCTGGGGAGCTAGGATGAAAGGGCCCAAGAGTGACACAAGGGCCTGGGGTGAGGGAGCAGGGGGCAATACCTGGGTCACAGGTGCTCCCAGCTGCAGCTGTTCTGTTGACTAAGGTGGGAGGGGCAGTAAAAACTAGATGTTCATGGGGTTCTGCTTCAGGCTCCCTTTAGGATGTTTGGGTAGTATACCAAATTGTATTAAACTGGTCAGTTTCCATGCCCATCACCCTGATAACCTGAGAGCGTCTCTGGATTGCACCCCTTGTACTGGCTTGCACTGTATTAAGTGTTTGATTGAACAGATACTTATACTTCTGTAATTTAGAAGGGTATCTCCTACCCCCCGCCCTTTAACTTTAGATCCTCCTGTCTCAGCCTTGTGAATAGGAGGAATGATAAATCTGGACCACTAAGCCCAGCTGTAAGTTTGCTCTTGAAATCATTTATTTGTAAGGTTATCCCTTTGCCAACACTGACAACAAACTTCCCACATCCCCACTTCACCTTCTCTTTCTTGAACAGGGTTTCATCTTGTTGCCCAAACTAGCCTGGGTTCATTCTTGGACTCAAACAATCCTCTTGCTTTAGCCCCTCAAGTAGCTAGGTGTATAGGAACAGTGGAAAGTCTAATCCCACTCTCTTACCTCAGTCAGAAAAGTCTTCTGCGTCTCCTCGTCACATCGAATTAACTCCTTCATAACCATCACTTTGCCTGTGGCTTTGTGAGTCACCTATAGGAATGGCAATTATTAACAGTGCAGAGACCAGAGGCAATTCTGGAGAACTGTTTGTGAAAAATATGTGGGGTGGGCTAGGGGTGTAGCTCAGTGAAAAAGTGCTTGCCTAGCATGCTCAGGGCCCTGGGTTTGATCTCCAGCACTGGGGGTGGGGTGGGGGTGGGGAGAAAGATAAGAAAAAGAAATCTATGCAACTGGCCATTCCATTCCTTGGAAGACATACTGAGCCACATCAGACTGACCAGAGTTTGCATGTAGAGGACATAGCATAGAGTAACAGGGTCTCAGAAGGAAGCATATCTTCTTCTCTAGAGAGCTAGGCATGCACAAAGGAGAGCTGAGACTCCAGAGAAGGGATCTGGGGAAGGACGCAGGAGGGGACACTGCCAAGTCAAGCAGGGGGCTCTTGTCATCTGGCACAGAAGACAGTCCCTTAGTAAACAGAGTCTGGGGGCAGGAGGGTGAGTGCCACAGACATGCACCAGGGAGCTGGGTGGGTCAGGGGTGAGCTCTCCAGCCCCACTGCCCCACAGACTGAGATACATGGCTTACCTGACCCCCCCTCCCAGCTCTCAGCAGAGGAGGAGGAGGAGGAGGAGAGAAAGAGAGAGAGGTTAGTCCCTGAGACTGTTCACCAGGGTGGCAGGACCTATGCCTGTACATGCCCAGCACTGGGGCTTGTGGGCACCTAATATACCCCAACTGACTGGAGGCATGAGGGCCAGGGGCATGACTATCCCAACCTAGGTTTCCAGAGCCACAAGCTCACAACAGCAGCAATGCTGCTCTTGGGTGGCTGGGTAGGGACAGGGGTACCTCAGACACCATCACCTATAGCCAGGAAGGTGGCCTGGTGTTCTATACAGTTGCAATGTGGCCCTGTAATGTGAACTCACTGAAAAAAAGGTAAGAGAGCTGGAGAAATGGCTCAGCAGGTAAAAGTATTTGTCACACAAGCCTGATGACTTGAGTTCAATCTGCAGAACCCATGTAAGGGTAGAGAGAACTAACTTCTCTAAGTTGTCCTTTGGCCTCCACACATGTGCCATGGCATGTGTATCCCTTAAACCACCCCCCCAGATCACAGACACAATAATAATTTAAAACAAACAAAAAAAAGGTAAGAGGGGTGGGTGGTGGCAGAGGAGCACAGCAGCTGCTGACTGTGCTCACCTTGATGGCCTGTCCAAAGAAGCCTTTTCCCAGGACTTCCCCGTGAATCAGGTCGCATGGTCGGAAGATCTGCTGTGAGTAGCTGCTGGAGCAGCGGAGGGATTCTGAGCGGCTGATGTCACGGCTGAGCAGCAGGGGCTCCTTGGGGGAGCTGGGGCCAGGAGACTTGGAAATGCTGTTACTGCGCCTGAGGGTGAGGGAAGATGAGGGCAGGAGAAATCGTCTTTAGAGACCAGGCAAGACATCCTGACAGGAGGAACCTTGGGTGTACTTGGTCATTCTGGCGTTTGTAGTTTAGATGCTATTATTGGGGGACAGGGCTCTTATATCACATAGATGTGCTGTTTGCGGGGGTTGCAGAGATTTAAGCATAGTAAAATACATTCAAAATGGGAAATCTGGAGACTAGAGGTGCAGCCCAGTGGTAGTACCTGCGCAGCATATCTGAAGCCCTGGATTCCATCCTAAGCACTGCCAAGTTCAGGGAGCATGGGGGTGGTGATGAATTGAGAACTTGCCACAGAGAGTAATTAACTAGATTCTACCAGCTTATGATGCTCAGTATATGACAACACTGTAGACAGTAATTCACTACCTCCTGAATCTGCTTGATTCAAGGTATTATACAGTGATAGCATACTCTATCCATGAAATGAACGAGATTTTAGATTTGATTTTGAATAAAATCTGTACCTGCACACATTTCCTGAATTTTTTTTTTTTCTTCTTGGTCTTTTTTTTCTTTTGAGACAGGGTCTCCCTGTAGCCCCAGCTGTCCTGGATTCACCATGGAGATCAGGGTGGACTCGAACTCACAGAAATCCACCTGCCTCTGCCTCCCAAGTGCTGGAATTAAAGGCGTGGGCCACCATGCCCAGCCAGATAATAAACATGATTTTCAGGGCTCTAAGGCCACTGTTTCAGAAACAGCCAGTAATCATAATGGCTGATGACTATCATTTTGATTTACTGAAGAAAGGGTAAGAAGGCTGAGATTCATAGCACTGCAGGTCAACTGCAATGCTGAAAACTCCCCACACTGTGCTCCTGCTCTATTGTCTTCCCACAGAAGACTGGAGCTGCACAGCTCTCTGCCTGTTCTGTCCCTCAGGCTTGCACGCCCCTTGCTCTCTGTTCTGCCTCCCACTACCAGTGCCCACAAGTGAGCTGCCTTCTCCTGCACAATGAGCAGCTCTTTGGCCAGTCCACACCTTCCCTTTTCCAGGCCACACATTTCCAGCCCTTTTCTGCCCTCTGGTGCTTTGCCTCTATTAACTCAATCAGGTGGACCAAGGCCAAGATAGGGGAGTGATGGGAACATCTGTGCTGTGTTCTAACAGAAGCCAGCCAAGGGGGACCTGACTGATTCAGCCCATCTGAGCAGGGAGTTGAGAGAGAACCTGATTCCTAGTCACGGTATTACACATTTACTCAGTGCTGACTGTGCTGGTACTGTATAACTTTCTTTTCTTTTCCACATTTAATTCTCACAGAATTGATGAGATAGCTACTTTTATCTCACAACCCCACTTCACAGATGCAGAAATAGAGGCTCAAGGAGATGAAACAAATTTTACGGCTATTCCTGTCTGAGAACCAGTGCTCCTGACTCTGGTTCTGGAAGTCTCTCAACCTGGGGCTTGTGAACAATTCCCTCCACAGGCTTTACATTACATGCTCTGAGGTATGGGGATGCTTGCCTCCCAGTTTTTTTTTTCCTGTCTTTTTGAGACAGGGTCTCCCTGTGGCCCCAGCTGTCCTGGAACTCACTATGTAGACCAGGCTGGCCTCGAACTCACAGAGATCCGCCTGCCTCTGCCTCCCAAGTGCTGGGACTAAAGGCATGCGCCACAACACCCGGTCCCTCCCCAGTTTTGAAACAGCTGTGTTTGTTCATCTCTTCACCATTTTAAAAATATTTTGCCGGGTATGGTGGCACATACCTTTAATCCCAGCACTTGGGAGGCAGAGGCTGATGCATCTCTGTGAGTTCAAGGCCAGCCTGGTCTACATAGTGAGTTCCAGGACAGCTGGGGCTACAGGGAGAACCCGTCTCAAAAAA